TACTACTTTATGGCAAGATTTTATGGCAGAGCCAGTCCTGGGCTTAATTATACAAGTGATACCTGAAATATGTCACATTCCAGACTCAACAGCTTATTAGCAGCTGTGCATCTTTACTGGGAAGGAACTCTGGGTTAACAGGCTGTCACGAAGCAAGCCCACCCGAACCCCCTTACCTTGGGCATGACAAGAGCTAGAGGGCTGTCTTCGTAGTCCCTGCTCTGTCTTTTAGTGGCTGGCTCCTCCTCCTGAGGCTTCCTCTCCTCCCCGAGGCGCTTCGGAACTGAGGGTGTGGACGGCTGCTTTGCTGCTGAGACTTCTGCGCTTCTGCTGTCCCTCTCGGACCCCGGGGACGGTCCCTCCTGCAGGCTCCCATACAGCATGAACAGTGAGGTGGAGGGCACGTACACCATGGGCTGGCTGGCCAGCAGGGCTGGTTTCAGGCTCTCCACGTCCGAGGCTGCAGAAGCTGGTGAGGCACCCACTTGTCCAGTCAGACTGTTCTGCACGGGGAAGGCATGCAGGTCCGTTTGGGCCGCAGAAAAGACTTGGTGTGCTAAAGGAGTAGCACAATATTCTGAGTCAACAGACAGGCCAGGGAAAGGAGCAGCAGGGTCCAGGCTGCTTGACGGCGGCATCGCTCTCTTACTGGCAAAGGCCTTCCTCCTGCAGTAAAAAGGAACATAATGGGTCCCATCAAGTTATCACATTCCACCAGCTCCTGATTCTCTGCCTTCCTAAAGAGATGTACCAAAGCAGAAATGAGATAATGCTGCTCGAGCTGATACTAAAGTGTGCCCCCTGAGCACCTATTAGCTAACTCCAGAGGCCGATAACCATATAACCTGGACGGATGCTTAGGGAGGGGGTGGGTGAGCGCTTGGGGGGCTCTCAGGTTAGAGCTCACGCGGGCTCTCCCCTGCCTCCTCTACGTCTAATAGTTATCGGTCACATACTGATAGTGACTGCTACCCCATAGCAGGCCTGCATATGCCTTATGACTAACATAATCATAACTTGACATAATTATGATAGTTACCCCCTGCCAGTTGATGAGGGAGGAAAAGTGAGGCTCAGAGACTAATCAGCCTTCTGAAGGTTAGCTGCCCCGCTTGAACGGGGCATTTATCTCCACTGTGAGATAAATGGAGTGGGCAGTGAGTGAGGAAATAAAGTTACCTACTAAATTATTTTCTGTCACTCTTGTCCCATTCTGCTCAGTATTCCAATTTTTAGGCACAACACATTCAAAATTAAGCCCCATTTAATATATGAGATTATAAACAATGTCTGGGCCTTTTATACAGAAAGACTTCTAAATATTAAAAAACATTTATGTTTTCAGTGTATTTTTGGAAACAGATGAGGAAAACCTGTTTAAGACTCCTTTAAGAACTAGTAAACAGAGGACAGGGATTTCTTTGAACCTTTTTGATGGAATCAGTAAGATCTATTTTGCCCCGTCTCTTTGTCCACGTGCTGCTGGGAATCAAATGGAAGGCCTTGGGCTGCAGAGATGAGTAAATCTCTCCAACCACAGTCCCTCTGAATGAGAAATCGCTACTACTCAGCTCTGTGAAGCTCAAAATACCCACACTGAGCATATCCCCCACCGTCCTATCTCCAGTCATCCACCTTCAACCTCCCCATCTCCACCAATAGTAGCCCCATCATCTGAGACCCAGGTGTCCTTTGTGAGGTCTCTTTCTATTTTACACTGATTTCCACTCCTTTCCATCTGCAGCTGACATGACTCAGACCTGCACCACGACACACCAGAATGGCTGCAGATGCGCCATCCCGCCTGCTTCAAGCAGCAAGAGTGTTCTTCTCCAGTGAGTCTGCTGTAGGTCTTTATTGTCTGTCTCATAAACCCAAACTCTTCTTCTACCTGGCTTCCAAAGGGTTCTTTTTTTTCCTCCAATTTGACCTATTCACCTCTAACACCCCAAATTCTTTTTATGAATGAGGTTTCCATTTGCTATCCTATTTGTACAAATCGTTATGGCTAAACTAATCAGTGTATGGTCCCCGTACTCCCTTCACCCTGCCTCACAATCTGTTTCTTCCCAAATCTGTCATTAAAAAGCTCTCTTGTGTAGACGAACCATGAGAGATGATGGACTCTGAAAAACAAACTGAGGGTTCTAGAGGGGAGGGAGGGGGGATGGGTTAGCCTGGTGATGGGTATTAAAGAGG